AAACCACCAACACCAACAGGCATCAACACCAGACATCAACACCAGTCAACAACAACCCCAATTTTGTATGAACTGAGTAGGCAACAACAATCCAGCAGAAAAATTCCAACAGCCAGCAGAAAAAAACCAACAGGCATGAATACCACCAACAACACTAACAGGCATCAACACCACCAATAGGCATCATTGTTTAACTAATTATGGATGAAGGCTCAGAATTTGGTCAAAATCATCATTGTTAGCCATCCAGTACAATATCAATAGATATTGCAGGTTGCTAATCTCAGAAAATCTGACAATCATCATAGCCTAAATTGATGCAAACCAAAATGAATAGGGCTGAGGGCTGAGGGCTCATAATATGGTCAAAATCATCATTGTTAGCCATCCAGTACAATATCAATAGATATTGCAGGTTGCAAATCTCAGATATTATGACAATAATCATAGCCTATATGTAAAAAAGTCACCAAGGTTAGGGCTGGTCATGAAAACTTACTACACAAAATACCCTATTTCATAGCCATCCAGTACAATGCCAGCACATTGTAGGTTGCTTGCATCTTAAAAAAATGTATAGTGACTTATTAATATCCTGCAGTCACAAGTTTAATTTAAAGGTTAGTACACCACAATATTCACAGTATGAAAGATAATATTAAAAAATGAAAGCAAATAACTACTTAATAAAATATAAATATAATATTAGTCATTGTCATACGATTCGACAACCACAAAACTAAACATCATTTTAAAAAAGTATTGTCTATGAACACAAACAGACAAAAGTCTTCAACCATAATTAAAAAAGTTTTCAAACAACAAAAGTGCTTAAGTGAGAATCATAAACTAACAAACACACCCAGATCTAAATGTCTTCAATCCTCTTTGTTGAGAAATGCCTCTATCATCTCCTTTTGACCATCCGAAGATATGCCCATAAATAGTCTAGATTCATGCTCATTCATAAAGAGGTGACGATAGTATGTATCTAACTTAGCATTAGTAAAGTCATGTGAATGAGCATATAGGACCGTGGATAACTTCTCGGTCCAATGCATATTCACACACTTCATGTTTGTGCTAAATACATCTATCTTATCCACCATCTTTAGCATGATCTCACTATCTAGGTTGGTCTTACGAGCCTTTACCTTGGCGGAGGATGACTTAGCTTTAGAACTTGATATTTTGGATGCTTCCTTAGGTGGAGGAGTGTCCTCGTCATCTACAATGTGTACTTGAGTAGATTGGGGAGAATGCATTGGTGAGTTCGCCTCATCTCCAAGATTTATGGTCTCACTACGACTAAACTTTTTCCAAGCATCATTAGCAAATTGACCTGTGGCTTGATCATCACCGATGATAAGGGCAAGATCATCATAATGCCTTAATGGTTTATTGACATATTGTCTAAGCTTCGCATTCTTAAAGCTCTTGTCCTGAAACAGTATAATTTAATTAATTACAAAAATTGCTTAAAATGGAAAATAAATATATTCTTTAACCAGACTTTATTTACCTCAATCCACCTATCCAAACATTCAGGATCCATAATGACAGTCTTCGTACTATCATCCCATCCAGCACCACTAAGATTACGACAAGTTTCCATATCACGAAATCGTGTTCGTAGAGTTTTGATGCGGTGCATGACATTATCCCACTTAAAAACTGTGTTGAACTTTTCATTAATGTGTTGAGAAGCCATATGAAATGCGGTTCTCTTAAAGCTTTTGTCGGGTTTGTATCCCTTTCTTACCAAGTCGGCAAGAAATGGAATGAGCTCATCATCATAACGGGAATCCCAAAACAAATGTTTGTTGCCTTGAGAACCACCTACTTCACCATTTTTGGAGGATGTGGTGTTTTTCCTCTTCTTCTTTGGATTTGGCGATGTTTCTACCCCTTCTTCTATGAGGTCCCGTTTGGAACCTGATTCGGGAGTTGATCCATTACCACTAGTGTGTGAAAGCTGCACCCCACTCAGATTAGGACTGTGAAATTGTGGAGGCAAAGTGGGTGAATTGAGCATGTTCGAATATGGCCCCATATTATGGTGCATTGGAAAGTAGCTGCTATCATGGAATGGCATGTTCGGGAATGCTTGAGGTGGTTGTACAAAGTACGACTGCTGAAATGGAAAATACCCATCACCGTGATGCACAGACTGAGGGGGTTGAGATGGTTGGGAAGGTGAAGGAACGACCCCCTTGCCTTTTTGATTATCTCTCCCACTCAATGAAGTATTATCAGCCATTGCTAATTAAATAGAAAAAGTTAGATGAAATAAGTACAACATGAATAAAAACTGAATGACATTAATGGAAATAGAGTTATTGAGTACATATATGAACATAAATAGAACAAAAATAAAAATCAAGTCTCTGTGATTACACCATGATTATACATATCACAGTAGTCAAATAAAAATCAAGTCTCTGTGATTACACCATGATTATACATATCACAGTAGTCCACCCACATCGCCCAAGCAATGTCATCCCTAAGAGTCTTCCACTCATTTCTTGATTCAGTTTGCTCTCTTTGGGTTTGATTTTGAGTAAAATCAACTAAATTAGTGTCATTCTCGAAAGCCACTTCGCTATCAATGTCTTCATTAATTTCATCATTGTTGAGTAGTTCATCACTTGGATCCACAGTTATAATAAAATTATGGAGTACCGTGCATGCCAATACGATATCTACTTGTATAGGAAAAGGATAATGCGGCTTAGCACACAAAATCTTGAAACGATTCTTCAATGTGCCAAATGTAGATTCAATCTTAGACCTCAATGAAGAATGTCTTAGATTGAATAATTCTCTTCTATTCTTAGGTGTTTTACCCGAATGTTCTTTCAAATGATATCTAACACCTCGGTATGGAGAGATGAAACCTGGCATGGTTGGGTACCCAGCATCACATAGATAGTATTTGCCTACAATTTTATTAAGAAAATTGTTAAGTCAAGTTTGAATATTAAAAATAATAAATTTTAAGTTAAGTCTATAATTAATTACCATCATAGACTCTCAATCCATGTGGTTGTGGTCTAGACAATGCGTCCTGAAGAATCCTATAATCATTTGCAGACCCCTCCCAACCTGCTAGAACATATGTGAACAGTTTGTTTGGGGTGCAAGCTGCAAGCACATTCTGTGTAACACCTTTGCGGCCTCGAAATCGGGCAACAAGATTAATCGGAAGCATAGCATCTATGTGTGTCCCATCTATCATTCCAATGCAATCCTATAATACGTGTATAACACATCTAAATTAAAATTTACTTACATTGATTATACATTTAAATATGCTTAAAGTGTAGATATACCTTGAAATAAGGGTAGTATAGCGGGTTGTTAATGATCTCTTGGGGAATGTCATTGGGGGCTTGTCTCATGTACCGTCCACGCAGGCAAATAATTGCTTGTAATACCTTGTTGAAATATCTACTCACTGTCTCCCCTGATCTTATAAAATGAGATCTAACTATGCGATTTTTAGATTTATGACCCAGAATGTTTAGAGTCATTATAAGTTGTTCTTCCACTGTTATATTCCTTGAGTCTTTTAGCAGGTTATTGTTCCTCATTATACTCGCTAGTTTTGCAAAAGCACCACTTCTCATTCTAATATAATTCACGCAACTATCACTAAAACCATTATAAATTCGACTTATGTGCTCAATTCTAGCTCTCTCTCGTCTTCTTTTTTCCTTACTTGGACCACTACGAATTGATTTACGCCTTGCTTGCATTCTTCTTATGACAGTAATTATTATAATTAGAACGGATAGGGCAGCACCTTGAACCATATTTATAACACTTTGTTCATCGGAACAATCACCATCATTATCCATCTACGATGCAAAAAATCATTATCACGTTAGAATCTAAGTCGAATTATGTCAAAATCTGAAAAAATTACAAATTATAATTTAAAATTTACAATTTACATTTTACTAACATGGATTACTACAATATCAAACCCAAAAAATATTCCAGTGATATAAATAGCATTAATAAATAACAAAGATATGAACTTTAGCTCCTAAAATCAGTAAAATTACATTAACACGCAACCAATTAACATTTTCATACTATCTAATAATGAGATAATTAAAAATACCAAAAAATTGATCTTAGAAAATACGAAATCATGGGGGGATTCTCACTGCTACAGTCACAAGCTCCTCATCACAGATTAAAATTTTTTCAACACATCCAGATATTTATTAGCAATTAAACCGACATATGTGTCACCTAGAAAAATAAATCCGTAATACATTCCCAATAATAATGCTAAAACAACAAAAATTAATTCTAAAATCTAAGAAATTATACGAAATTTGAACATTTTCTTATCTGTAAAATCTCAAAAATAAAAGGAAAATCACCAAAAATGTAGAGATAATAAAAAAAATGCGTAAATCAGACCCCCCACACCCCCAAATTCTCAGATCATTGTTGTAAATTAAACTAATAATAAGAAAATTAAAAAAGACGAATTTTTACCTTGATTTATGAAGCTACAGCGTCGGCAATGATCAGATCTGATTATTGTCGAAAATGATCAGATCCGAATACAGGGACAAAGAGGGTCGCGGGAGTTTCTGGCGGGAGGAGAGCGCGGAGGTAAGTATAGCACGTCGAAGAAATCAACGAGGAAACCAAACAGCCGACGTGGCTCTTGTTTCCGTCGATTTCACGAGGGGAAGCGAGGAATTGAGGGAGAGGAGGAAATCCGATGTGGCGGCGGTTTTGCTTCAGTTTCGCTCGTGAAGCCCTAGCGAAACAAAGTGGGGAAAATAAACCGACGGAAACGTTTTATCCAACGTGGCCTGACGTGGAGGCGGTGAAAAGGGTTTCCACAGAGATAAAAAGCGAACCAAACAGGCCCTTAAAGAAAGGGGTCTAAACAGCAAATCCATGTATTAATTGTGTGTACATATCAGTAGATCTCTTATAAATTTCACTGAGGACGCTACAGACGTATCTACAAAAAGCGCACGTGATTTTAGGAGGAGTTTTATTATTTTTCTCCCCCTCCACAGAATCAATTGGCCCAATAAAAAATTATAGACACCTCAATTTTCTCTCCCCATTTTGTTCGCTAAAAAAACTCCACGATCGAAACCCTAGATTCTCTCCTGCTGGTCAAACTGGGTCTGATCGCCTCTCAATAACCCTTTGAATCCGACCGTACCTTATCAAATTTGATTGATGATCTGTTGAGAAGTTTAGTTTTCTTACAAATCTTAATTAGGTTGGTTTTGGTTAGGTGAAAGTTTCGATCTTTCACTCAAATTAGGTAATTTTCTGCTTGAATTAGGGGTTTCAGCTGAACCGAAGCTGGAAAAAGATGAAGTGTAAGGTTTACATGAGTTCTTGATCAAGAAAGTTGCGAGCTTTTTAGCTGATTTAGTCGAAATAAGTTGCCCTAAATCGTAAATTTCTCAGTTCTCAGCTGAACGAGCAGAAAGAAATGATCGTTGGTGGGAATTAGGGTCTTGATCTGTAAGCCAGTAAAGAAAAAGGGTACTGAAGAAAGTGAATCGAGGATGCAAGGTCGAAACAGAAACCCTTACTCCAACGATGGAAGAGGGTACAACTCCAATTACCGTAACTTCAACAGGAGCAGCAGCGGGAGCTTCGGCCGCAACAAACCCTACCTCCCTCCTCCTCCTCCTCCTCCTCCTCCTCGTCGCAAAGAGGAAATCCTCATGCACGCCGGCCGGCTGGCTGCCGAGTACTTAGTCTATAAGGGTTTGCTCCCTCCTGAGGTACTTACATCCAAGAGGCATAATGGTGACTATCAAGATTTCAAAGGGCATAACCGAGATTTTCCGGTTCCTGATGGCCGGACCTCGGCCTTAAACAGGCTTGGGAGCTTGAATTCTGATATGGGCTATGGTAGAAGAAGGTACAGTGACGACTATAATGATCGGATGGGGCCGAGAGATCAGTTTCGAGGGAAGAAGAGAATGAGTCCTTATGGTAGAGAGTATGGGTCGGATTGGGGAAGAGAGAATGGGAGATGGATGGGGAGGAATAGAGGGTTCAATGATATGGAGGATGAAGATGATTTTGCTCCTGGGTATTCTAGAGATAGGAGGAGTGGGTTCGATCAGTTGCCATCGAGGAGTGAAAACACGATGGAGTCTGGGTCGGAGAATCATGAGATTGTTGAGGATACGGGATCAAAAGCTAGCTCTTCAAGCACTAGGAAAGAATTAGATGGGGATTTGAGTAAAGCTGTGGCTGATGATGGTAAAGCTATCAATCAAGAAGCTGGAGATGAAGCGAAGAGCAATGCACTGGTGGAGGAGTCTGATGTTCAGCCCTCTGAAACTGAAGAAGATAGCAAGAATGGTGATGATTTAAAGAAACTATGCAGTTTTGCAAGTGTACCCACCAAGCCTCGATCATCGTCAGCTCAAAGAAGCCCGAAGAAAGATCAAGAACCCACTGCTGAAGCAAGTATCACAGCTGAAGGTTCTTCTGTGGAAGATAATGAGGGGGATGGTTTGAAAGAGTTACCTACAGATCAAACTGGTATGAAAAGCCAAGAACCTGAGAATCTGGAGATTACAGCTGATCAGCCCGTGGTAGAATCTAACCAACAACAAGAACTCAGTCAGAATCCACAAGGTTTTGGGTCTTCGACAATTGGTGAAATAGAAGAGTCTAACAAAAAGGAGGGAGGGTCAGAATCCACAAGGTTTTGGGTCTTCGACAATTGGTGAAATAGAAGAGTCTAACAAAAAGGAGGGAGTTAAGAGGCAGCGTGAGTCTTCATCAGGTGGTGAAATAGAAGAGTCTAACAAAAAGGAGGGAGTTAAGAGGCAGCGTGAGTCTTCATCAGGGGATGAGCCCTCCCGAATGCATAACGTGAGAGCAAAACAATCAAGCCCAGAAATTGAGAAACCTCTAATAGATGAAGAACAGGTTGAACCAGTAACAGTTGTTGAAAGATTGCCTATGGATGAAGAGATGGTTGCTCCGGTTTCAAGCGATCAGGAAAAACCACTTGTTGATCCTTTCATTCCAAAAGTTGAAACTGAACTGAACGATAAAGTGGAAGAAGATAAGGAGCTTCTTCCTTCGTCATTTAAGATTTGTGATCTCAACCTTATGCAAGGCCCTGAAATAACTGAGATTCCTGATGATCCTGATCCTGAGCACCTTCGCTCTTCTACCCCTAGACAAGAAACTGGAAAGGAACTGGCTATGGATTTTGGCCTTTCTATAGGTAATAATAGCAACGGAGGTGATGAGTTTGGCAGGCTTTCAGGTGATGAGAAAGTGGTCCAAGTAATTGATCTAGAAGATGATACTGCAATAAATGCTGGTGCCGGTGACTCTTCAAAACCAAAGTAAGTTATTCATATGCAAATAATTTTCTTTCGATTAATCTGTTATTCCAATTCTACAAATCGTGGCGGGTGACATTTGCTTTTTCAGTATTTTTGTATTATTTCTTTGGCCATTTGTTCAAATGTTCGTTTTAGGCTGCTGCTAATGTCATGTGATGAATTATTCCCATATGGCAGGGATGAACCAATATATCCAAATCTTGATAGCTTCCTGAACCAACCAGAGCATGCTGATCTTTCTGGCATTCAGGATGGATATTCTCTTGCATATTCAGAATTCCTTGGGTCTGATATCTCAAGATGTCCATCGGTTCCCTCTGATCTTAATAACCTGGACAATGGAATGGGTCTTCATGATGCAGAGGTATTATTGCTACAAAAGGAACTATTCATTCTATAAATTTGATGTTTTATCTATCGGTTATAATGTAGGCACTTGGTTTCATGGATGCATATCCTATTTTTTCCATTCTTGATTATACGTGCAAAATTTTCTACAAATTTATATCGCTCTCTTTTCTCTGTCAGGGTGTCCCAAATGACGACGATTCAATCTATGTATCACTTGGAGAGATTCCTATAGGTATGCTGAACTAAAAGACTGGATTTTCTTGTTATTTCTTTGCCTATGACTTGTTATGTATTATTTTTTTGTTACTTTAGTTTTATGATATCATGAGAATGCATTTTCATTTGGCTTGTTAGCTTATGCATGCCCCGGAGATGGATGCAGTTCCCTATGTTTTTGTCTTATTCCTTTTTCTAGACTCTTCTTTTAGCGCATCAGGAAAATTATTGGAGCATTGATCCCCCCCCCCCCCCCCCCCCTTCTCCTCTCCTGCGTGGCCTTAGCTTCATAGTGCTTACTGGCTTTTGTAGCATGTTCTCCTGTTTGTAGATTATTTGACTAGGAAGATGGTACAAATAGAGGGTTATAGTCAAGTCCACAGTAAAACTTTAATCAGATTTTCTGTGACATCCCTTTCTTAGTATTTTCCTTCATAGCCGGCTCCAAAAGGCTTAGCTGATTGTGCTTCTAGTTTTGGTGGTCATTTGGTCTATGGGATCTAAACTTTATGCTCAAGTTTTCCGAATAGATATTCTCAGTCTTTTAGAATCTATTAAATCGCTCTGCTTTATGCATAAGTTTCCTAGAGTTTCAGTTTTGCTGCTTTCCCTTTTTTTGGGGGGTTGTCTTATATCTTCAAAACATTGAAATGGAAAAATGTTTGGTGCAGAGCATACTCATTACAATTTTAATTCTTTTGTTAAGAACCTGCAGATTTAGGATCTGTTGGTTAACATAAAATTTTCTATATACTGTGCTATAAGCAGCATTGCCTTTTTGTTTTACAGGCTTTATGGAGGTTTGGGACCAGCCACCTCAGGAGTATGGAAAGTTCTTTTGATCGATTAGATGCAAAATGGTGTCTTGTTGCAGTTGCGGGTTGCCTTCGTCATCGCATCCAGCAGCTGGGTATGTCTGGATTAAATAAAACATGATTACAGTTGTATCATTAGTTTCAGTTATTGAGGTTGGTGCAATAGTGACTTCCTTTGCTGTTTAAGTGCCTGTTGGTCTTTGTTGGAAACTATTTACCTTTACGGTGTTAAATTGTTGTAGCTTCTTGAATCCTTATCACTTCAAGTATCAATATATCTTCTGAAGCATTAGTTTACTTGAATTCTTTGTACTATTGCAGTTGTTCTTCTTGTCATGTAAAAATCCAATGCTATTGACGGAATTATGTGCATGGATATGAGTGACATGA